TTGATATATACAAACTACTGGCATTTGTTTGAAGATTCCTGAAAATTACATTCCATGGGGGATTTTTTTTGGGGGGGGGACTTTGCTGAAAAATATACATATTAGAAATATATATTTAGCTGGTTTTTAGAATGGGTATTAAAATATTCAACTTCTCTAGGCAAAAAAAGGCTGCTAAAATAATAGATAATTCTGTAATTCATTATTATTATTTTGTTTCTCTACTCAACTTACTTTATAGAAACAGTGTTAGAGAAAGGCATGAATTATAAATATTTATTTCTATCTTTAGAAGGATTGATCTTTTGAGGATGAAAGAAAAGTGTCTGAGAACCAACACTGAAATCTGTATGAATGTGTTTGCAGAAATAAAGTTTCCATTGAAGGGTTTCTGGCAATTGGTGAGATCACTGCAGAGTGCAGATACTTCCATATTGTGGTCACCATATAGGTTCAACAATAGTCACACCAGTCACATGAAAGATCTTATAGACCTGATTTACAACATCTAACCTACTCAAATATAGGAATCTAGGTATGGTACAAATACTAAAGTTGTTGTAAAGTCAGTACATTTAGGAAGACTTTTTAACAAAAGCAGGTCAGAAATGCCTATTGAGAAAACAGGTGGTAATAAATTGCTAGTGGAATGGCTCATAATTCTCATTGTTCTACAAAAAGCTTGATGGCCTTCATATTAGACATATTCTTTCTATCAACATTACTAAAGCTTCCTTCAATCTGGAGCTCTGCAAATATGTTAGGCTATAATTTTTGGATCCCAAGCTGCACAATTAGAACAATGTGCTGCGTACCCAAATGAAATTTAGAAAAAACAGCACCAGCATGATCCTGAAAAGAATATTTCTAAAAAAAAATGAATTGTCTATGAGTAATCCCTTACTTTATATCTTACCTTTAGGGTAATAAGCCTTAACCGATAATCATCTGCTTGTATGACTCTGTTAACTGTAATTTCAATTCCTTCATAGGCAATTTGTTCTTCTGGCCAGTATTCTGTACATTTCTAGGTAAAAATAAAATCACAGCTATAAAGGCAGGTGTCTGCAAAAAGTAAATATGCTTACGAAAAGCATAATTTGAATTATGGCAGAATGTTCTCAGAAATCACTTATGGGATAAGTAAAAATATTAACTGATGCAAAATGGTATTTTACCTGGGTCAGAATGTTTGGCTCTCTCCCCCCGACTCCCCATTAAACCATATATTTTTCTATATTTTTCTTGGTTTAAGAACTGCAGAAATGAAAACCCTATCACATTCAATTTTCTCATGTCATTATTACAGTAACAAAAGGAACCAGTAGGGAGTTGCAAAGCAGCCATGTTTCAATTCAAATTTTAACTTTGATGATGACAAGATTAAATTAAAATGTAGGATTCAGGGTTCAAAAACAACAAAATTAAATTTAGACCCATTTGAGACTATAATAAAAAAGCACCATCATGCCAAAAGCTATTTAATTTTTGGAAGAATGAGATACAGATAACAAGGCTAGAACATTTACAGGAACTTGTTTTTAAAAAAACATTAAAACAAATTTATGTTATACTGTCATATGTATTATACAAGGATACAAGAAATAACTTTATAGACAATTCAGAACTTTCCACAAGCATATAAAACAGTGGTGTCAAACTCAATTTCATTGAGGACCACATCAGCATTGTTTGACCTCGGGGTTAGGCATGGCCATCTTGACATCACTCATGTTGGGGGAACCTGTGGTGGCCCAAGGCTCTGCCAGCGAAAATGGGCTCCCAAGCTCCATTTTCAGTTGTGACGGCTTCTTGCAACCCTCTGCCAGCATAAATGGAGGTCAGGAGGGCTGCCTGCAGCCCTCGCAAGCTCGCTTTTCAGCTGTGATGTCGTCTTGCAACACTCTCCCAATGAAAATGGAGCTTGGGAGCCCATTTTCGCTGGCAGAGCCTTGGGCCACCACAGGTGCCCCCAACATGAGTGATGTCA